GAGGGGGGAAGATGAGGACGGAGCACGCATGGAATGTCCGAGCGCTGTGATATCAATTATGGACTAAACTCAAATCATCTTGACCCGAAGAAGGCACAGACGTCCTTCATCAAGTTTAACTGAATCGTTTTGGCGTCAGATTCCAAATTATCCCCTAACCTAGTCTGTACAGAGGTAGACACCGTGGTCTAGCGGCTGCGGATCGGAAGGTTGTAGGTTCGGTTCATGACGAAAGTCGGATGTTTTTCTGAAATGACCTTGGCTCTCAGGTCGACCCCGCCTTGAATGGGTACCAGGTGTAGTCATAGGAAGTAAAGGCGGCTGGCGAGATGCTGACCACACCGCCCACCTGGCCCTATATACCCAGTGTGCATGAAAGGCGGGAAAAGGGTCCTTTACTTAGTCCGTACAACGTTAATGATATCTGCTCTGTCCATGATTGTTCCCGTTTGCAATGGTGCATTACTTTGCTAGCTTGCAATTGGGATTGTCCTTGTTTAATTGCCTATGACTCATTAGCCAAATACCAAAGTGCACTTGTGTATGTTTTCAGTGGAAAGAACTAGACCTCATCTCAGCATAAACAGCGATGATGACTCGCCGTCTCCGCCAAAACAGCTTATCAGACCAGACTTTAATATCTTCCAGTACAGCTTCGAGGTAGAGTCGCTGACCAGAATGACAGCTAGTAGACGAACTGCAGTGGACAAATCTTATACTTGTCCTCCTCCTGCTCCACCTTATCTTCCTTCCTCCTTTCCCCATCTTCTTTATTTCTTTTTCTTTCTTTCTTTCTTTATTTCTTCTTTCTTTCTTTCTTTTCTTCTTCTTTCTTTCTTTCTTTCTTTCTTTCTTTCTTTCTTCTTTCTTTCTTTCTTTCTTTCTTCTTTCTTTCTTTCTTTTTCTTTCTTTCGTTCTTTTCATTTTCTTTCTATCTATCTTTCTTTTCTTTCTTTCGGTCTTTCTGTCTTTCTGTCTTTCTGTCTGTCTGTCTGTCTGTCTGTACTGTCTTGTCTTCTTCTTTCTTTCTTTCTTTCTTCTTTCTTTCTTTCTTTCTTTCTTTTCTTTCTTTCTTTCTTTCTTTCTTTCTTCTTTCTTTCTTTCTTTCTTTCTTTCTTTATTTCTTCTTTCTTTCTTTCTTTCTTCTTTCTCTCTTTCTTTCTTGCTTTCCCTCTTTATTTCTTTCTTATTTCTTTCTTTCTTCTTTTCTATCTATCTTCTTTCTTTCTTTCGGTCTTTCTGTCTGTCTGTCTTCTGTCTTTTCTTCTTTCTTTCTTTCCTTCTTTCTTTCTTTCTTTCTTTCTTTCTTTCTTTCTTTCTTTCTTTTCTTTCTTTCTTTCTTTCTTTCTTCTTTCTGGTTCTTTCTTTCTTTCTTTCTTTCTTCTTTCTTTCTGGCTTCTCTCTTTCTTATTCTTCCTCCTTTCTCGTTATTGCGCCTACCTTCTGTCCTTACTTCATTCTTATTCTTCACTGAGGTATACGTTGAGTAAAAACTAGCCATTAGGTAAGAAGTACAAAGCTAAACTATTGTTTCATATGTTTAACAAAACTTACCCAGAGTTTGCTTTATCAACAATCCTTGTTAATTAACGCAAACAGACACTGAAATGGGAAAAAGATGGACAGACGAAACAAGGAGTCCAAGTGAAACCATAAAGTGGACGTTGATGAGAGAGGCCAAAGGTGCTGGACTGGATTCCATTCATGGTATAGCGGTGACTGCACAGGATAGAATAGGGTAGAGAAAAGACCATCAGTACTATGTGACATATAATAGCGTAATATGACACTGCACGAATGAATGTATGTGAATGGTTTCCGAGACAGAGCAAAAGAGATGAATGCAATCCGCCTGTGGTATCTTCAATGTTAGCACCTTTTCTTCTTCTTCTATCCTTTTGTCAGAAAACTTGTATCAGGAGGCCAGTAGCCTTTATGAAAGCTATCGTGCAGTCCATATCTTCTTGTGTGCCATACAGTTTTGAAATGTTAACACCAATATCAAGAAACGTCTTCTCTCCACTCTCCCTGCCAATGGCTACAGAAAAGGCTACAGGTCTCAGTGAAGGCTGTGATCCACACAGCTTGGTTTCCATTTGAATGCCAGCTGTTAAGACCTGGGATCATTCCACTGCCCGTAGAGAGCTTGCCTGCAGCACGTCTTCAGTGTATCGCTTGTGTATCCATGTGGGAGACTTGTTAAGTTCTCTCCCAAAGCTCTACATCAGTAACTCTATCATATCTTTTAATTCCCTCTATTCTGCGCAGGCACCAGTTTCATCTTCTTCTTCTTCAGTAGTCCGAGCCCTTAAGTTCATTGCTGCAGAAATCACCCGCCTCCATTCATCTCTCTGGTTGGCCTTCCCTTTCCATTTGGTAACACCAAGTGTTTGCAGGTCTGTCTGGATATTATCTCTTTATCGTCTTCTTGGTCTCCCTCGTTGTCTACGACCATTCATCTCCCTGGTGTATGCAGTTTTTACTTCTCTGTCATCTGACATTCTTTCAATATGCCCAACCATTTCAGTCTATTAGCTCTCATACCTGCCTTATATATTGTCATACCCATCATATACATGACACACCTGTGGTGACTTTCTCACACCTATCAGGTACTTTTAATCTAATATTCTGCTTTTTTTTTCCTCTCTCTCTCTCTGACAAACAGGAATCCTCAGGAGATGAGGATGTTTTGAAAAGTTGCTCACTGACGTCATCGCCAATATTGGACACATCGTTGACAAGTGGAACAACCACTCCACCGCCATTGCCGCCTTCACACCGGGCAGGTAATGAATTCACACCTGTTAGGATTCTGAAATACTCTGGGTAGATTTTATTTTTAAACTCTAAATTTTTTGCCCGGGCAGCGCCGTTAGGCTACTCTTTTCGATTTCCAACTGCCAAGGGATTTTTTTACGTGCGCAACAATGCGCACAGGATCTGATCTCACGATCCAGAGACCAGGGGGTAATTACTGAAAGTTCAAGTTCCAGCCCTTGCCAAGGATTGAACCCGGAACCTCTAGCACTCGAGACGGACACCATGCCTTGAGACCACGCAGTTACCGCCCCCTGCCACTCCCCTCTTGCAACACTCAGTAAAGGATACGCAAATAACTAACTACTTAGATTTCACCTTTGCATATTTTGTTTAAGACACGACTGACCTATATAATTTTTTTGTTTGACAGATGCCTTTCTGTTTGAAGAGAAACCTGAACGTCCGGCGAGACTGCGCCGAAGGCACACTATTAACATATGTGAGATTCACAGTGAGCGAAAGGTACATTCTGTTTTGCCCTTTCCAATAGAACACTTTATTTTTGTTTACGTTCCGCTATTCAAGGTCCGACAATCAAGTAATGAGACTGATTTTATTATGGCTAATACAAAAATTCCATCGTTGAATCACAGCATCGAATCCAAAGAGGCCACCTTCGTCTATTATCTGGCAACTTTTCATTGCCGCCCAATATGCAGACAACAAACAAGCCGCCATTTTGTTAACCTAGTCAGAGGTGCGTTGTTACGTAATCAGTAAAAAAAAAAAAAAAACTAACATTAAATTATGTTTAAAACTCAGAAAAAGCACCATTGCAACAGTTGAATTGATGCAACAGGTTTATGGGGATAATTGTTTATTGTGTACAGATTTTCTGCTGGTATTCACAATTCAAAAGTGGTGTGGAAATGATTACTAATGCAACTAGACCCGGACGCCCACATTTATGTTCATAACGTGGAACTCATTACAAAATTCCGAGGACGAATACAAGATGATCGTTGTTCGACTGTGAAGATGATGGTAGATGAATTTAATGTTAATACAGAGACCATTCGTAAAATTTAAGTGAAAGATTAAGTCAATAAAAAAGTTGCTTGCCGGTTTGTATTCAACACCTGGCAGTTTAATTTTCTTCTTCATGACAATGCACCGGCTCAAAGGGCGGTAGCTGTACATGAATTTTTGGCTCAAAAGCAAGCGCGTGTTCTCAACCATCCACCTCATTACGCACGGAGTTCTTTCCCTGGGACTATTTTCTAATCCCAAAATTAAAGTTGCCATTGAAAGAACGCTTCTTTGACGATAATAATGACATCTGAAGGGCCGTAACATCGACTTTAAGGGCCATAACAACAGAAGAACTACAGAGGTCGTTCCAGTGTTTGTTAAATTGTGCCACTTGCTGTATCAATGCACAAGGTGCTTACTTTAAATAAAAATATAGGTTATATCTTGAACTGTTGATTTTTTATAATATTTATGGAATTAGTCTCATTACTTAATTGTCGGACCTTCTACGTATTATATAATGTCAAAGTTAAAATCGAGGGATAGACTCCATTTGATACTTATCGTCATCCTAGCATGTATACATTGCATACACCACTTAGCAATAGGTGTTTCGTCCTTTTCAGGACGATATTTTTTGTTTTTTGAATCCCCACCCTGGCCTTTGCCAGGGGCCGCAGTATAGGCAGGTCATATATATGGCCTAAAGGCTGAACGCGGTTTCTGGGACCTCTCCACGGTGATCCTCACCCACATGGTGGCACATTGTGTCATCGGGTGTTTATTGCTTGTGTGATGTCCTGGTGGTGTAGAAAGTCAGTCAGTCATCCTAGTCCACCGGTCTGACCTACTCGTGCTCCGTCTTTGGATGCAGCAGCCATCTAAGTAACTCCACTCAGGCGAGGTGAAGAGTGGATCAACGTGTCCGAACAAGACTCAGACTTGTGTAGGGTTCTAATCACTTTAGGTCGTGAATGTTAGGACTGGGCAGCTGGTGCTGCAGAATCAGAAGTGCAACAAAAGATTCATGACAATCCCCGCTTAAGTTATTTTATTATACAGGTGGCTCCGTGTTGAGGGGGCAGACGAAGTGCACGGGGTTCATAGCAAAAGCGAATGAACGTCTCTTAGTGCAACAAAGCCTGTCATATGATATCACAACGTCTCGTTTGAGAATGGAGGTGGAGGCAGTCACTGACTCACAGAGCATGTTGAGAAAGGTGGAGACAGTCATGCTTCGTGCAGAGTGGCAAAGCATCACTTCAGAGGTCCTAGGTAGTTAGCATCCTTTAGAAATTTTCTCCAGGTTATGCCGGTGTATTGGGAAATGACCAGACATATAGACTGGCTGGCTAAGGAACAGATAGATCATTACGGTCTGATGAGAATGGCGCTGCAAAGATTTACTAGGGGATCTGACCGACGTTCGACACTCAAAGGAGAGGCGAGACGGATTTACAGGCAGTTACTGGTGATATCTGAATTGGAACTCTTCGCTTGCTGTTGAAAATGGGGACGGAGTGCTTACGGAAGTGTTCTGAGTGCTATTATCTCAGTTCTTGATACAGCACTGAAAATCCCTTTTCATGCTTAAGGTACCCAGTAGGAGTTGATTGGTTTATCATGTTTCTTTCCCTCGCACCCAGTTTCTACACGCCTGTCCTAAATACCCATTCCAACTAATAGTTCATCGTAATGAATCCTTTTGTCTCAATGTCCCTGCAACGCAGTACATTCAGTATATCTGCCCTGCCCATTCGTCTTCTTCCACCAAGCACTGTAGACACAGCCAGTCTGTCTGCTCTTTAATTTCCTCTCCCACCAGAGTGTTCCAGTGTGCATAACCAAGGTAGTCTTAAGGTGGGATTTCTGGATGCTGTCCACCCACTGTAGTCAGAGTTTGCCAGTTTGCACCTTTTTAAACGTGCTCAATGAGTCTGTCACTCTCAACGACTGAGTTACTTTCTGTTTAACCAGCTGTGCAAATGCCTCTTCATGGCATCAGATTATCCCAAATGGCTCGATCTCTCTACAGAATAGGTAACCGCCTTCCGAGAGGTGGCGCAAAGCCGAAAGTGAAAGTGACTTGCGCAAGGTTTGAAGTGAGGAAGAGTTGCGTAATTCGTCGACCTCACTCTCTCGTCTATGTCCTTCTTGATCCAATGACAAGACAATGTGAGACGCTTGGAAATGGACCTAGATGCAGTGGATGACCAAGGCGTCTTAAGTGCCCTGCCTTGTTCGAAGCTCTCCGCAGAGCTTGCTGGTAATTGCCTTCTTGTCCGTTGAATCGGTAAGAGGTTTCATCCACACAGTCCGCCGAGCAAAGCAGGAATTTCCCGGCGGCTCTAATATAAAAGTAAAACATTTAAGAAAAAGTAAACTCCTGTTGGCAATAGACAGGGAGGCAGATACGTAAACAGACAGGGAGACTAATAGATATATAGAATGAGGGAAAGGGGGGGGGGGAGAGAGGACAGAAAAGAGTTTGTAAATGTGATTGTTGTTGTCAAGGTGGTGGTGGTTGCTGTGGTGGTAGTGATTTTAATGGTTGTGGTGGTTGTAGAGGTGGTAGTTACGGTGGCTGTGGTTGTTGTTTTGGTGGTGGTTATTGTGGTGTGGCTAAGGTTCTGGTGGTAGTGGTGTTGGTGATGCTGATTGTTGTGCTTGTTGCGGTGGTGGTGTCTAGGGGGTTTGTGGTAGTTGTCGTCATCATCATTGTGGTTGTAGTGGTGTCTAGGGGGTTTGTGGTAGTTGTCGTCATCATCATTGTGGTTGTAGTGGTGTCTAGGGGGTTTGTGGTAGTTGTCGTCATCATCATTGTGGTTGTAGTGGTGTCTAGGGGGTTTGTGGTAGTTGTCGTCATCATCATTGTGGTTGTAGTGGTGTCTAGGGGGTTTGTGGTAGTTGTCGTCATCATTATTGTGGTTGTAGTGGTGTCTAGGGGGTTTGTGGTAGTTGTCGTCATCATTATTGTGGTTGTAGTGGTGTCTAGGGGGTTTGTGGTAGTTGTCGTCATCATTATTGTGGTTGTGTGGTGTCTAGGGGGTTTGTGGTAGTTGTCGTCATCATCATTGTGGTTGTAGTGGTGTCTAGGGGGTTTGTGGTAGTTGTCGTCATCATTATTGTGGTTGTAGTGGTGTCTAGGGGGTTTGTGGTAGTTGTCGTCATCATTACTGTGGTTGTAGTGGTGTCTAGGGGGTTTGTGGTAGTTGTCGTCATCATTATTGTGGTTGTAGTGGTGTCTAGGGGGTTTGTGGTAGTTGTCGTCATCATTATTGTGGTTGTAGTGGTGTCTAGGGGGTTTGTGGTAGTTGTCGTCATCATTATTGTGGTTGTAGTGGTGTCTAGGGTGTATGTGGTAGTTGTCGTCATCATTATTGTGGTTGTAGTGGTGGAGTTTATGATAATGCTAGTTGTTGTGGTGATGATGACTGTGAGAGTGATGGTGATAATGGTGTTGTTGGATGCGGTGATGGTTTTGGTGGTAGTGGTTATGGTGGTTGTGATGATGGCGGTTGTTTTTGTTTTTTGTGATGTGGTTGTTTTGTTGTTGTTTTGTTTTTTGTGTGTGGCGGTGGTGTATGATTTGGTTATTGCTGTTGTCGTACTGTGGTTTTCATAGCTATTCTTGTTGTTGTTGTGGATCTTGTTCTTATTGTGTTTTGATGGCCATTATGAGCAGCTGTTGTAATTCTTCATGTAAGATTGTTGTCTGATTCTCTACTCCATGAGTCATTACGACCCTAACATTTTTGTTCTAGTTAATCATAAACTGTTTATTAATTCTGTTTTATATTTCTGGTATTGTCCTCCACACTATTTCCAGAATTGTTGTCATCAACTCTATTTACAGAATTATTGTTCTCCATACTATTTACAGAATTAATATTCTCCACGCTATTCACAGAATTATTGTTCTCCATGCTATTTACAGAATTATTGTTCTCCACGCTATTCACAGAATTATTGTTCTCTGCGCTATTTACATAATTATTGTTCTCCACGCTATTCACAGAATTATTGTTCTCCGCGCTATTCACAGAATTATTGTTCTCCGCGCTATTTACAGAATTATTGTTCTCCACGCTATTCACAGAATTATTGTTCTCTACGCTATTTACAGAATTATTGTTCTCCACGCTATTTACAGAATTATTGTTCTCCACGCTATTTACAGAATTATCGTTCTCCACACTATTTACAGAACAATGTGCGGAGTCCCATCGAATACCTGAGCCTTACGTTGGAAGAACTGTCGCACATCCGGTCAGTGTTCACGAAAGCGGAACTGGAGTCTCTGGCCTGGAATCCGGAGCTGTACCAGCAGGTGTTTAAGAGAAAGGTTCGGGCTGTTTATTTCTGATTCTATGTGCGTGTATAATGTTTCTCTCTCATCTCTCTGCCTTGTCTTTTGTTCATCAACTAAAGTCTATCGGAAAATACTGGTTGTTCGTCTACTTCTGAATGTTGTTCTTTTTTTCCTCTAGACCTTTAGTTTTGCGTACACATCCGTTTTATAGGCGTTGTTTATTTAAATACAGAATGCTGGTTCCACGCCTTCTAGGTAGATGCATTCTGACTACGAAGGAAACACCACCCCCCCCCTTTTTTTTTTCCATCAACCAGAACCCACACGAGGAATTACCATTGTTTGTACCTAACGAGATACTTCTACTACTTCTTCTTTGTTAGCCCTTGAAAAAAGCGGTTGCCACCTTGTGTTGTGGTTAATAGGTAGGCTGTGATATCTGCGTCATTTAACCTAACTGACGTAATTTAAACAGGTTTCTCCGTTGTTGCCTTTTACGACATGTTTGGGAAAAAGAACCAACAGTCTGGACACAATAGGCCAGATTTATAAAGTTGACGTGCACGCAAAACCCACGTTCTAGAGCACGACCAACATCCAGAAGTGGACGAACAAATAAAACTTTTCCCTGCAGTTTTCAGCTGGTGAAAGATAAGAAGAAGAGAAGAGAAGTGGTTGTCGGAAAGTGTCCTTGGAATTAAAGGCAGCCGACGTGATGATCATCAAACTACCCACCTAATGTCAGTCGCCTTGTTTTGAATTCATAATGCTTGTTACTGTATCATTGTCCGTTTCTGTCGAGTGCTGATGAAAGAATCTTAGCAGCAACGCTCATTTTTACTTTTGTGATTGTAGTATATTGAAGCTGACTAGTTATAGTTTTTTCGTTTAGATTAAAAGTCTCACGCATTTCAATATTTTGTGTGTGTTAAAAGGTAGTTGGATATCATCATCATAAACGTACCGTAACACTTCGTGTCGCTGGGTCACCAGTTTCTGTTGACTGTCTGATCAGCTCTCTCCACCTTTGGCGGTCAGTTGTGCTGGACTTCACGGTTGCATGCCTGAGGCCTGTCCAGTCAGTCAGGTTCTGTAACCAGGTATTTCTTGGTCTGCCTCTTCTCCTCTTTCCCTCTACTGAGACCTGCAGTATTGTTTTTGAGAGGCCGTTATATCTTATTACCTGTCCATACCATTACATTTGTCGACTGTTTACTGAAGTTAAAAGAGGTTCATAGTTGCCGGTGAGCTGTCTAATTTTATGGCAAACCTCTTCGTTTGTAATGTGGTCTCTGTATGATATGTCGAGAATTTTTCTGAAACATTCCATTTCTAATGCTTGTAACTCTCTTTCAAGTTCAGCTGTTAAAAGTCCACGTTTCGCCACAGCCATATGTAAATGTACGAATAGCTAGTGCTCTGAGCAATCGAATCTTAGTTTTGCATGACATGTTCTTGGCTCTCTATAATATTTGCTGCTTGGCAAGGACTGATGTTAGTTCCGTGTAGAACTTTGCAATACCAACGCCAGCAATTTTTGCCTGTTTGATTTTGTGTCGAACGTGTAAAAAAAAATTACAATAAGTAAGATACAAACACTGTTCTTTAGCCACATAATGAGAAGAGAGACATTAGAGAGCATCGAGACAACTGGAAAGATCAGTGGGAAAAGGGGTAGAGGCAGACCAAGAGAGAAGATGCTGGATGGGCTGAAACAATGGCATGGAGGGATATCATCGAGAGAGCTGTTCCAGGCAACCACGGATATTGAAATGTCCAGAGACATGAGCGCCTACGCCAACTGGCAGGGCACATGGTGATGATGCAAAAATTGTCACTGCTGCCTGCATTTACTACTTTTGCGATGTAGGCGGGGGCAGGGGAGGGGGGGGGGGAGTTCAAGCCTTCATTTATGGTCGCATAGCTATTGCAGTCAGCATAGATTGTGCACGTCTGGCTTTTATTGTTACCTTGACATAAAAATAATACCTAACTTAACAGAGGATTCAAATCTGGGCCACCCGCATGAAATCTCTGCGTTCTTAACGGTTCGACCAGCCGCTCATCAAACATGTCTAACATGTAACTATAACTAATCGACCATCTTGTCTTCCCCAGCTGTGTTTCACCTGCCGAACAACAAGATTCACTCTGTTCGGAGAGTGGGGTACTCGATGTAAGATCTGCCAAAGAACGGTCTGTAGCAAATGTATCAGAAAGGTCAGTGTCTTTTAAAACACTTTTATCACTATAGTGCTCCCCAGAGCATAGCTGTGGCTAAGTCGATGCGAAGGCTTCATAATGCCGGGATGCCGGGTTCGATCTCAACTGCGGGCCATACGCCTTGCGTTGGTTTCGACAGTGGTATCAGGGAGCCGACTGTCTAGAAAGCAATGGCCAACTACTGGACTGAAATCTGCCTCAAAAAACCACACAACAGCCAGGGGCTGCTGGGGTTGGTTCTGAAACATCCTGTAAAGGATACGCAACTAACCTATAACTAGAATGTCTTTGCACTGGAACCCACAGGGCATTGGAATAAAGGAAGGCTAAAAAAAACACATGGAGAAGAGTGCTGGAAAATGAAGTTAGAAAGATGGGTAGGACATGGGAAGAGCTCCATGTAATGGCGAAGGATAGAATGACAGCGTGAGTTGGTTGAGGGCCTATGTTCCATTGGTGGATAGAAAGAGAGAAGAAGAAGAAGAGAGAATGGGAAATTATTGTCCAGTATCGTAGTACTAACATAACCACTGTTCAACTCCCAACCAAAAATTCAACATAAACCCAGCTGGCAAAGTCAGACTGGCTACAAAAACACGATTGTTTCTGACTATTGTTGCAAGAAAGCTAATTGTATGAAAGACATACTTATTTCCCATCAGCCAACTTTTATTCTTTTTTTCTGTCTTCGATCCCCAACGGAGCAAAAGCCCTCAATCAATTTATGCCAAGCCGTTCTATCCGTCACTGTTGGTCTGCCTTTATTTCTGTTCCCCTTTGGGTTCCAGTTCGAAGACATGCTAATTATCTTGTTCGCAGGTTTTCTCAACATGTGTTATATCCAAAGTCAGCGAATTTTCTTCATTTGTTGGTTCACTGTAGCTATCACTTTTGTAGTCAGAAAATCCGGTCTTTCATTTTTTCGCACTCCTGCATTCCCCGGACAGTATATCCACTTTGATTCCCTGGGATTTTGACGCGCCGATGCTTGGTATCCACTTATGCCACATGTGTCTACTCCGAACCTTCCAAAGTATCAACTGAAAGTCGGTCACTATTATTAACTATTAAGATGAAACAACATGTGTAAGAATGTGTGAAGGAGGAACTAAGTTTGGATCTGGCAAGCAGGGACGTATTCTCAGAGCGACGAGTTTACAGGAACTGAACTAACTGTTTATCCTTCTTTAAGATTGGACGGCATACACAATATTACATAAAGTGGTGATATATTAGTATTTATAAACATTAGTGCTTTTGGCTTAACAGGGTTACCACTCTTAAGGGCGTTAATATGTACTACGCGAACAGTTAGCATCAACACCTTAAGGAATTTGCTGCGGGAGACGGAGCACATATGGATATGACCGGTGTGTTATGATGTACATTCTTAAATCAGAAATCTGGGTCCATTGGAATTTGTTTAGTTCTATCCAAAGCTCTACATTAGGGATTCTATCATACCACACTATTCCCTCTTTCCTGCGCAGGCACCAGATAAATGAATGTTTGTAGTCGATGATAATTTCAGTTGTTCTCCATGTTTCCACTTCATACTACAGTATTGATTTCACATTTGAATAATTAAAAAAAAAATTTCGGTTTAGCATTCGTTTAAAATTCTTTATACCTCCAAAATTTATCAAAGCTATGAAAGCTCCTCTTACCTTCTATATTCGTATAAAAATATCTCTATCAGCTCCCACATCTGTGTATTCATAACTGCCCAAATAGGTGTACGACACCACATCTTTAGAGAAACCACATTACTATTTGCCTGCTTTATTCTAATTATCTTTGCTTTGTGCATTTTCAGACCTATGTGTTGTGATCTCGAATCAAGAATGTTTAATTTATATTGCAGCTTTTTCCGTAAGTGGGCTAGAAGAGAACTATCATCAGTGAAATCCAGATCATCAAGCTGTTTTGTTGTCTACTGAATTCCATTCCTGGTGTTAGCCGTTGCTGTTTTTAAAATCCAGTCCATTGCCAGTAAAAAACAGAACAAGACCACAAAAGACATCCATGTCCTACACCTGTTCTTCTTTCAAATGTATCTGTTAGCTTTCCCTCATGAAAAGCTCGACATTTCATGTCAGTTGACCCCTTTACACACAGGCATTATGATTTACAGATGTCATGTCTGTGTTTTGTTGAGAGATGCCACGTCATCTAGGATAAACCCTGAGGCAGTGACATCAACCCTCTCGTCTTTCAACGCCCCTCAGGTAATCATCATCTCAGGTAACAGATCCTTTGCAGAACTTCGCACTCATCACGGTCTGTCTGAAAGAAACTCAGTCTCTCACTAGCTCTCCATCTCGTGTACTTTTGTATTCAAGGATTGTTTATATCGTGTGCCCATCTTCGTGCTGGTCGGCCCCTGCCCCTCATTCCACGTACCATGCCTTATGTTATACTCTTTCCAGTCCGCAATGGCTTAGATATGACTGTTTTCCCTCTTCTTTCAGATGAACGTTCCGACAGATCACTTCAGAAACATCCCCGTGTACTCATTAAGTCCTTCTTTGTTGACAGGGGAGATACATGATCTTGTTCAGAAAACCAGGTAATGATGTTTATAATCAGCAGGACTTTTTCTGGCTGTACGCAGCACTGACACCGTTTTTTGTATTTTAGTTATCATTTTTTTTCCAGCGCTGATTTTAAGACATTTTGTGACGATTGGGCACATTCTGAGACTGAGCTGACAGCGAAACACAGAAACAGGGATTTGAATGGGAAACAAAGGAATTGTAAAAGCGAGCACTTCAAAGAAATTAACGTTGATGACGAAAGTCGAAGTGTTAGATTATGTTCATGAATGTCCCATGGCATACGAGTATCTAAAAGTGTCGACTAGTAATAAAGCTAAACTGGTCACTGAACACAGTGTCGACTAGTTAAAGGTTAGTTGCGTATCCTTTACAGGACGTTGCAGAACCAACTCCAACAGCCCCTGGCTGTTGTGGGGTATCTCTAGGCAAATTTACGTCCAGTAGTTTGCCCTTGCCCTCTGAACGGTCGGCCACCTGATACCGAGGTCGAAACCAATGTAAAGCGCATGGTCTGCAGCTAGGATCGAACCCGGCACCCCGGCATTACGAAGTATCCGCATCGACTTAGCCACAGAGCCGACTGTCGACTAGTATTGATGCTAAATTGGTCGCTGAACATAGTATTGACTAGTAATGATGCTAAAATGGTCGCTGAAGGCAGTATCGACTAGTAAAAATGCTAAATTGGTCGATAAATACGTTGTCGATTAACAATGAGACTAAAAGGGTTGCTGGTTACATTGTCGACTGTAAATATGCTAAAAGGATCGCTCAATGATACTGCTCATTTATGAAAGATAATAATATATTAAAAGATCACGCCAAAAGGTTAAACATTTAATAACGCCGGTAGTGGGTGGTGACAGTGCTTGTAATGATTATTTTTATGTTTATTCGACGGATCAACATCATGGCTCACCGGTGTAACCCATAAGTGTTCCGTTCCACTTCTAACTCAATCCTGATTCTGAAGAATCTCAGCGCAGTGCACGAACTCCGTTGCACTGGTGAGGATTCGGAAATACTTTGTGTAGATTTTACTCAAAATTTTGCCAGTTAGGCTACTCTTTTCGATTTCCAACCGCCATTTGATTTTATTACGTGCGCAAGAATTCATACGGGCGTCCGATCTTACTACCTAAAGACCAGAGAAAATTACTGGAAGTCCACGTGAAAGAATCCCAGCCTTCATCAGGGGCTGAAACCCAGGACCTCCAGCACTCGAGGCGGACACCATAGCTCGAGGCCACTCAGCCCCGTCCCTCATAACATACCATAACATAATGATTATGTTATCTTGTTTCATGCCCACAGACATGCTCCAGCTCCGTCAGTACCACAAACTAGAGCTTCAAGTCCAACCAGAGATGAAGAGAAGACTTACCAGCAGAAGACGCAACATACACTGAGAACATCCGATTTGATGAAGTCACTCGATGAAGATATCCCAAAGAAGATGTTCATGGAATCAAGACATGCTCACACTACTCAATCTTCCAACAAGAGTGACCCTAACAAGAAATCGTTAATCAAACAATCTTTGAAAGGAACTCTGATGGCCATCTGTTGTGAGTGCAGGCTAATGGTGATAGAAATAGTGCGATCTTCCAGACAATCTTTGGCGGCTCTGTCGTTACAGAATCCATCTCGTCAGATTTCAACTTCTAACCTCTCCAAAAGGAAAACAACAGAAGGCCATTAGGTAAATATTTCTGTCACCATCATATTTGACAGGAGGAGCTCTGATGGCTTTCAGTTTGAAGTGCAGACACATGGTCATTGAAATATTGCCATATTCGAACAGTCTTTAGAGATGATGTCGTTGCCGAAACCATCTCGTAAGATGTCTGCTTCTATCCTCCCTTACAACGAATAAATATAAGTCAGTGAATCAAGAACTGATTCACTGCACTCGGGCAATCCCTCACGTGCTTCGTCCTCTTCATCAGTAATCAACACAGAGTCAACATGCTAAAAGTACCAGTTGTATCCTGATTTCAGAGCATGTTGACAAATGGGAAAACATGCATGCTTCGCGTAGAGTGGCAAGCATCACTTCAGAGGTCCCGGGTAGTGTGTATCCTTAGGATATTTTCTCCAGGTCATGCTGATGTGTTGGGAAATGTGCAAGCAGATAGACTGGCTGGCTCTGCACCACTTGGTGGTGAATCGATGTAATGACATGTTAGATATTATAAGGGCTTTTTGGGGACAGTACAGAGGCCCAGATAGATCATTGCGTTCTAAGGAGAATGGCGTTGTGAGGAGTTACCAGGGGATCTGGCCGACGCTCAACACTCAGGGGAAGGATAAGAAAGATACACAATCAGACGGTTTCTGGTACTATCGGAATTGGAACACTTCGCTTGCTGCTGAAGATGGGGACTGAGCACACACGGAAGTGTCCCGAGTGCTGTAATGTCGATTCTTAATTCAACATTCAACATTTAACCTGAATGATGAATGTCTTCCGAAACCCCTATTCACCCCTGGCTGAATTAGATAACAAGAAACCAACAACGAGACATTTGGCAAGAAATTTGGCAAGACATTTGGAAAGACATTTGGCAAGACATTTGGCAAGACATTTGGCAAGACATTTGGCAAGACATTTGGTAAATGTGAAAATCATCATCATTATCATGTGCTCTGCCAATAAATGTAGGTGGCCATGTTTCACTTTTCCAGACAATGAGCAAAATCACGGATCAAGTCAGTGCTCTTGTGTGGCATTGGAAACCAAGATATCTAGGTATTTAACAGTTAGCTTTATTGTTTAAATAAAAGCTAAAGAACTATCACACCATGGTGTGTGTGTTTGGGTCGTTAGATGGGTTGGTGCGTGTGCGTGCGAAGCAAATTTTTTAAAAGAAGTACAAGCTTTTGTACAGGAGGCCTTAAAAAAAAAAGCAACTGATTTAGATCTAATAACTACAGAAGCCATTAAAGCATATGGTCAAACAGGCATTAAATAGCTAACAAGAATTTTAAATACAGAATGCGAAGAAAAGAAAAATCAATTAGACTGGCAGCACGCATTGAAAAACAAGATTATTATGACCTGGAGAGGATGAGGCCTTGATGTCACATATCACTCCTGTCGCGTGCCTAATGTAAGGATTCCTCCTTCAGAACCAACAGCACTCAGAGATAATTATGTTGAGTCGTTTGGCTCGTATTGGTCTAAGGAATTCCCCGTGGCCAATATACGCTCAACTTATCTCTGGAGTAGGGCAACTCAAGTATTGGCACTACAAAATATATCAGTATATAAATACAATATTTCTAGGCACACTTGGCTGGACACCCCCACTACTTACTAAAGAAAGCCCCCAGGTTATGATAGTTCATTATCATAATCATGTTAACACATATAATGAAGATACATACACATACAACTGCTAAACACTTAAGAAGGTGACATAGAGAAACTTAAGTCAGCCATGAAAATGAATGCATGTATTTAGTATAATATCTGTACATAAAAAAATGAAGTGAATTCCAGTTATCAGTGAAAGAATCTCAGCACTAATGTCTAGATCCCAAGGAAACTATACAGACCGCCGGTTCTGGAGGTGACTATATGTCATCATTGGAAACAAATGAGCTGTGAGGAAAACAACAGCACATGAAGCATCAGACTTAGCTTCTATCCTTTCTGTCTATGATGCCTCCTTCAGCTCCAGATGATTCGACTGTCTTTGATTCTGGAAATTCTGCTCCACTGGATCAAATAGTCAGAGAGTACCTCACCATAGAGGACACAATACTGCATTGGTACTTAGCAAGTCTCTATCACCAAGTAGACTATATATTGTTTTTGAGCTACCCCTAAGCTCTAGCACTGGTAGGATGTTTGAGGTACCATCTCCACATTTGGAGATGTCAGGAATCTTCACAGGTGTTTAGCTGGTGGGTACAGTTAGTTTAGGGTTGTTTGGTTGGTTGATGGGTGTTGGGTGGACTGTGAAACTTCTGCCAGCTCCTCACAAAAGATACACCCCAAGCATATGTAAAAACTGAGACATTCCAGATTGCCTTGAAAAATGAAATAATACAGGCATAGATTGACACGTCTGGACGCTAGGAGCCGGCAAGAGAGAATAGCGTCACTTAGACACTTCAGGCGATGGTGCAAAAAGAAGTCCCTAGTATACATGAGCAAGGAGTAAATCGGTTTCCACGAAACCTCAAATAACTCCCTTCATATATATCGAAGATATATACATTTAAAAGTGGAGTTTAGTTAAAGTAACCAGAAAAGTCAGACATAATAATGTTGTCCAATAAAGGCCTATCCCCCCGACACTTCGATGAGGTACAAGGTGGAAGAGAAGAAGAAGAAGAAGAAGAAGAATAAAGGCCTATATATATATAGATATAAGGGACTATATATTTCTGGGCGAGTCCAAGTTTGAATTTTGTGCAGATTACAGGTAAGACAGGTTATCAGCCTTACAGTCCGATGCGTAATGGCTATCATTTCACGACACTTGACCACGTCTGCCTTGTGAGATGCAGATCCAGTCAATCTGTCTGCCTGTTCATTACCCACCACGCCGGCATTACCTAGAGAAAAGCTTTTTATAGAGTAGACGAAAGCAAATACAAGAGACTGTGCATCGTACAGAGGTGTGTCACTCTTGAGCCACATGGGAAAAAATGTATGCAAAGTTATTTAAAATGTTAGATCTATAGCAGAACAACACTTACGTGTATCATATTTTGGTGTTATGAAAGGGAAAAGTTGCACAGATGAATTATCTACACTAAGACAAGTTTGCGAGGAAAAAAAGAAAGCAATGATGAACTGAATATTGTGTTTGTATATCAAGCAATAGCTTTTTATATTTGAGTTGAGTTGAGTCAAGAATTTATATCACAGCACTCGGGGCATTCTCATGCATGCTCCGTCCTCATCTTCAGCAGCCAGCGCAGAGTTCCAAAACTGATGGTACCCGTCACAATCTGGTTATATGTCCGTCTTGCCTTACCTCTGAGTGTAGTGAGC